CAGGCAATTTACTGTTGTCAAGAAACTGTAAGATTACGGGCTAATTGTTACATCGTTCTGGGCAACTAAAACTGCTCCACGGGAGTCACAATCGGATAATAAGAAAGTTTTACTGGAGCTAACGATACTTGGTTTACTTTATTGATTCGAATTGCCGTTACTGAATGTACGTCTGTGTATTGCACATAGACTGATCTACATGTGGAGTAAAAATCAGTAGCGTGAAAATGAGGCCATACCACGGTAGCAGAACTCCGTCTACTATTATAGCCTTTGTCCCTTCACACACAGCGAATTGTTATCGCAGATGCATCGATCGCCAAGAGCCTCCCGCTTTTCCATCATTAAACTGATTTGTAATCAAGGCTCGCCAATGGCAGCTCAGTTCATTGATCATTTAGCTCATCATTTAATCGCAGAGCTATAATGACTAGCAGCCATTGGCAATAACAAGTAAATGTGAGTAAGATGACCGATTCGTTATTATCAGTATCGTAATCAGCTGGACTAGAGCCTGATCATTGACTTATATCAATATAAACTTTACATAGAAACGAGACGCATTTTGAGCTGACTTGGAGCTTTCTCTGTATCTATAGTATTAATATTGGGTATATGGGATTTCACAGTGATGAAAGTGTTCGCTTTAGACTGACGAACCCGCTGCTCTAGGTTCATCTTACAGGTGGACCCCTTAGGGAACACTAAGACTGTTGAAGATTACGGACGAGAGAGGCTATCTCTCATGTAGGCAAACTTCGACCCATGGCGACAGTTCGACTGAGCTTGATTCGCTGTCTACTCAGCATCTTTTGTTGCCGCTGTTGCTGTCATGTGTGACTCCTGCTGCTAACGCGCCTCCATTTCGAACGGAAGTTCAGCCGGATGTCCACCATGACCAGGGTGGGGGAGCAACTTCGATAGCGTCTGAATAGCGTGACGCTGATCTGTTCTGCTGTGGCTAAATCTTCTCGTCCACCTATACTCGCACTTAAGCGGTAGGTCCGGTTAGGGAGGAACAAGCCTGTGTAAGCCTGCCTTCTGCCTCCCGTAGTGAAAAGGCATCGACGTCAGCACCAGCAATCGTGCCTAGCACGATAACACACAGAGACAGACAAGCCGTGGAGGATCTGTCGTCCGCCTGAAGTGTAGCGGGTGGCTGCCTTTGGGCGTTGAACAAGTCATAGGCAAGTGACTAAATGTAGAAGGTGATGTTAAATGCTCGCACTATGAGATCAAAGAGAGCGTAATAGAGCTATGATAGTAAGTTTTACGTTATAGAGAGGAGACACTACGTCAGTAGGGGTCCGGCCAGCACATGGTTTTCTACCGCCGTTGGCGTTACGAATGGCGTTTTAGCCACGCTGCTGTTGTTGTTAGTCACAATGTTGCTAACCTATCGCTATTATTGTTGTTGTTGTTGTTGTCGACAATGACTATGACAACGACTAGATTCATTCTTCGGGTGTTTGTTGTTAGGGAAGATGTTGATCGGGTGAGTGATGTTGCCACGACACCATCTACACGCAATATACTACTACATTGGTAGCGGTGGTGTTGCTGCTGCTACTACTACGAATATTGTTGCTGTTCGGCCGGCGCTGGCGGTGCCGAGGACGGACGAACTTCGGGTCCAAGACGTTCCGATGGTCAGACAGGCGGACATCGCTGCCGCAGTAGACAGAAACAGCGCTCCGACAGAGCGCCTCCATGTGGCGGAATTGAGCAGTGCTCAACGTTAGCACTTGTCACGCTTCGGCAAGCGCCCACATGCGCACGTAGACTGGAGGCATACATTGAGAAAAGCACTCATATTGACTCGTACACTTAGAGCGACTCAGCTCAGGGATATATATAGGCACGCACACAACCTCACATCAAGATACCAGTCAGTTATTATGCTCTTATCCGAATGCTTGTGTCCAGGCAGCACTTACGCTTTAACATTGAACCGCCGCCCTCAAGATAGCGACGCAAAGCAATCTAACATAAAACATGATTAAATGAAGACGAACAAAAAGAAGAAAAAAAAAACGAAGGAATTGACGAAGAAGCGAAAGAAAATATAAGCAAATTCTTGCTTAAGCTGGAGTTGCTTGGCGAACGAAGATGGGGGAGGAAAACCGAGTAAAGAAAAGAGAATAGAATGATACAGAAAGGACGACAGAAGACGTCCACGTTAACAACAACGATAACAGCTGCAGCGGCCGTTCACGGTACTTCATCCGGTCGGTCGCCCGGACCGTCGATTCAGCGACGTACCAAGCGAACGAATGAACATTATCCGGACCGTGAACCAGATTGGAGCCATCATCTAACACTTCTTGTCTTGGTTGTGTGATTGTTCTCGCTGCCTTGGCTTTGCGTCTACGACAACAATAACAACACTGTTCCGCAACATAAGTCTTCTCTTTAGGACTGCATGACTGCCGGTGTTGATGGCGCTCAGATAGAGATACCCCTCGCGCGCGGCCACAGCACAGTTGAAGCCCATTCATGGTTGAAGCGTAGCCAGTGTTGGGCGGGTGAGGGCGGACGTAATAATTAGACTTACATCTTTACGTCATTTAACGTTTCTCAGGTAAAGGCAAAAATAGACGAGCGAAGAGGACCCAACGAACAACGCCGTACAGCTCAAATATTCTGATGTTGCTCTATCGCTGGACAAGAGTTTCGCGACTGTCAAGTCCCTGTTATTGCTGATGCTTGTTAGTGTAGCCACATCGGTAATGTTCCTGTAAGGGGTGTGCAACGACACGAGTCATACTATAAGCCCTGTTGTTATTGCTGCTGCTGTTAAGAATTATCGCAAAGGTCTTCTTATATTTTATTACTCTACGGGTTAACGAACTCGTTCAGAGAAACGACGTAAAGGAGATAAGCACAATGGACAAATCCCACATCAAGCCACCCCACGCTACGCCACATCCAAGCTTCAGAAATGTAAAAACTCGCCAAGACTTTGACGTATAACAAATACTTCTCTACTATTCCATTCGCCGAGTACCACCACCTCAGCCTCTCTACCCAACAGCGTCCGATGATTATTGAAAAAATTTCACAGTCGGATAATTTTAAGTTAACGGTGATTTTTTCTCAATTTGCTTGTACGATTTGGAGCCTTCTCCTTTTGTCGGGACCAAAATTCACTCGATTAATCAATATGTCCATATTTAGGCGGGTATGTATTCGGTTATAATATTTGTTATCAGTATAGACAGACTGTGCTAAACATAATATGCGCACGTATGTATCCGGAAATCGTTTCTGCTTCTGAGTGGTTATTCAAGGGCAGCACCACAAGAGGATCTCTGACGGGTTACATCACGCTTTCTCGTCCCTCCTCTGGCCTAGTCCGTCAAGGAAAGTAGAAAATTTTCTATGGCGATTCGAGCGCTCTTATCACAGTAGGACAACTGTCGTTCTCAAATGGTTTTCCTGATTAGAGATCCCTCGCCCTACATAGAGTAAGAGTGATATACAAGCGTCGATAATATTGTCATTGTGTTACTGCGCGACAAATGTAATCAACAGCAATTGATAGTTGTCGCTGGGCTAGTTAGTACTTGTCAGAGTTGAGTGATGGTAGCTACGTTTTTATGCAGTGTTTGCATTGTTAATGGTGTTTGTGTTCAGGTCGCCTGTTGCTGATAGCTGGCCAGCGGGGAGAGCTTACAAAATAGTTGCTCTTTTTGTCTTTCTATCTCTCTACGTGTGAGTGGTTAGGCGCTAGGCTCGTGTCAGAGACGAGACCGCAGGACCCATACACAAATTTTGCCGGGGATTGCCGGGGATCTGGGCTGTACAGTAGCTCCAGCCGCAGTAACAGTGGCAGCCTCAGGCAAGTGGATTGACTGGCTACGGAAATGCACGAACAGTCTCTAGCTCAAGTACAAATGCAACTAGTGATAGCACTCCTTCTACATTCAACATCAGCGACTCCCGTCCATCTCGGGAGTAAGTGAACTGTAAGCACCTACCATAATCCAATACATGCTGACTGACTGGTTGTTGATGGTGCATCTAGAGAGAGACACAGGCATGCTAGGCCGACGACAGACCCGGTCCGTCTGTAAGCTCTTCTTCGCTTATCGACAAGCACCAGGCTCGCCCCACCCCCAAACAGGATTGCCGTATTTAAAGACAACAGACGCGAAGGACAAGCAATCAAAGAAAAAAAATCCGGCCCACCTGAGTCTGCCGAACCGCACGCAACCTGCGCAGGATAGATGGATCGAAGCTAACTAGAAGAACCAAAGCAAAGGAGAAATAGGAATTCTAATCAAGAAACGGAGTTGGCACCGCTACAGGTTGTATAATAGATTGGTTGCATGCGGTACAGATCTGTCCTGCCTGTTTCTGTTTGTTAACGCTTACAAGATCCATATATATGATAGGATTAGAAAAAACATCATGTCTACTTTTATAATGACTTCGGAACAACTTCCCTGCCGTTGGTAATAAGGATAATGCAAGGCGTTGTTTAGAGAAATTTATGCCGTTGCCTGCTTAAGATAGAAGTATTGTGGAGTTGGAATCAGAGCATCTACTACTGTGTCCGGCTAAAGCTACACTTCAGAACATGGCTGCCCATTTCGCACCATAGGAAACTTGGATTTTTAAAAAATACTCCCTTGACTCTTGAGTTTTTTTTCATCGAAGTTCGTATACATAAGCGGTGCAATAGCTCGCTTTTACTTGTTGGTTATGGTTTAAGTAGAACAAAAAGAATGCTATTGTGAACATAATCAGGTAAGTTTCCCAAAAGCTGCCTTATCATATTATCTTTTACTAGATAGATACTAATGCAGAATTCTTTAATATCTTTCCCAAAGCCTTATCGCCTTAGATCTTTGTTAGAGATTGTAAACAGTTCCTATTGTGCTTATAACTTATAAGAAATGTAACTGGTTGTCTCACATAAAATATTAGTACAATAAAATTGATTTTTTTATAAACTTTGCTAGGAACATGCTTTTACTAAAAAACAAGGAACTCACTTGTAGCGAATAACAAACGTGATGAGGTCGTGCAGAATTTTGTCGCCCAACGATGAACTGCGAGGGTTTCGAATCGATGGTGCGGTAGAAATCATCAAGAGCATTGCCGCCTTTGTCCAACAACAGGGTATGGCCTAAAGAGTTACGTTTGGCAACATTGGACCACCTCGCAGCATTTCGACCGTATGTCCCGAGTGTATTACTTCGGTTTGGCATTGAAGGCGCTGAATGAGCGGTCGTTACACTTGATACACCGTACACACCAAAGAATGTTCCAGCAGCTGAAGTGCGACTTAAGGTATGTGAATTGGCTTCGGCAGAGTGGCCCCGTGGGTGCATCTGCGGCCGTAGCGTAATCTCGGTATATTCCGGAGCCGTTACAGGTGCTACCGAAGCAGCGCCAGTTGACATTTTTTGCGGGTAATGCGACGTCTGGCTGTGAACATTCACGTTGTACGAAGGTATCCGTGGTAGGGACTCTGCACAGCGCGGTCTTGCAAAGTTAAAATTGTTGTAATTCGACATGTTGTAACAGTTACTTGATGGCCTACGCGGAAAAATCACACGTAATAAATCCTCAGAAGAGCCCACAGGCCTTATTAAAAAGGCGCTGCTTTAACTTCTTCTGCCCGCATCAGGCATTAATATCCTTTTATCATGCAATACACATCATACCACATCTGTTTATTTTCTTTGTCCACGCACACTTCAGTCTTCACTCCTATCTCTGTTCTTTTTTGGTCGGAACACTACCGTGTTACTGACGTTAAGAGCCGTTTCACTATGTGACCAAACAGTGATAGCTGGCCCACCAAGTTGCCGTCGCTCTCGAATTGGCCTTTTGACGAAGCGTTCTCGCTGAGCTCCGACGTTCAACTGAGCTGGACTAGGCGCTGAGCAAGCACTGAACCAAGGTGATGCAGCTTCTCCTCCCGGTCGCTCAGAGATCCGAACCACGGCCGCTGCTGCGCACAGCCCGAGCGGAATAGGAAGAGCGGCACCGGATGCGGAGAGGGTCGGAGTTCAAGCAAAGATGAACAGTATCAACGTCGGCAGCTTGCGGCATCAGGAGCACCGACAACAACAGCAGCCGGAGAGTGGTTGAGTTCGAGCTGAGCAGCGGCGACAAACAAGAGGCGGCTGCCGGTTACTCATTCGTTAGTGGCTCTCGTTATTACGGTTGCCGCTGCTGTTGGTCTCCATCTATTGGTTTGTTGATGGTGCTCCGGTGGGTCGTAGCTGGTCGCTGTAGATCTCGCTTTGCTTCGCTTGGGTCGGGTCGAATCGACGGCGGCAGTAGCAGCAGCGCAGACGCCAGCTGACGGACACTTGGGCCGCTTCGGTCGCTCCTGTGCTGCGGCAGCGCAGCAACAGCAGCAGAAGAGCTGCGGCCTTTTGTGCGCGAATTCGGTCTTCCAAGTTGGCCCAAGCCTGTCGGATTCGAGCAGACCGGCAAGCCTTGTTGCCTCGACCTGATCGGGTCCTCGACTGTGACTCGCCAGCCAACCCTTACTAGAAGCAGTGGTAGTAATAATATATATGAGCGTGTGTCTATACATGCATGTATTTATACATACGGCATATAGATATCGAAGAAGGTTTGAAGACTGAATGGTCCAGTAGAGATAGTAAGTCTGATTAAATCGATTTCGCTAGTAGCTGCTATGACCTAGTAGAAAAGCACAGTATATAAGCTATAGTCGAATCATATACTGCGATAATACTCAAGGTTGTTCCATGCTTCACAAGCGTATTGCAGCCTTATCGCTGCAAGAGTGATCGAACAGTTTTGTACAAATAGAAATCTTATATAAGCTCAATAAATGCGTCTTAAACTGTATTGCATACGATAAACTACAAGCCTTCGGAATGTTCGCTCTTAATGCGCGCTAGTTAGTCGTCGACGCAAACAACAGCCTCTTATTTCAATACACCTTATCCGGAATCGGTGTCGTCGTCTTTCTAATACCGAATACAGAACTAACGCTCAGTTTGAGCTACCCTGATGAGCAGTAGCAGCAGCAAGAGTGAGAGCGACCAGAAAAGGTCTTCTGACGCTTCATTTCAAGGTTGTTGAGCACTTAGCAAAATCAAAACTGCTACTCAGTTTTAGTTTAATTTAACCTACTATTATTACTTCTGCCTCTCACCGTAGCTCTGTAATAATTTGCAACCAGTGGGATAAATTGGAGTTAAATAAAACGTAGACGACTTTGTGTGTGGCTAAAACGTTTTGCCAACCAAAAGTACTTCCACTCATCGCGTAACAAGAGGTCGCCGCTTGCGTGTTGCTTATAGCTAGCGTGTACTTCATTGATGCCGTATTATTGTCATGGTAGTTGCTGATACGGTAATGGAAGTCGGACGATTATCTGGTCTAGACTTCGTTCTGTTCCTTTTTCGAAAGCTCATTTCTCCTGGTGCGTACGGTGGCGAAGCTCCCGCTACAGCTTCTGGTGCTGTCGATACTGCTGCTATCTGCGCAGCCCGATAGCCAGTTGTTTACTGTCTGTTGTTTGCGACGACTCGTCGACGGCAGTCCTGTCGTCGTGGCTGGCTGCTCCGCGCGAAGGTGCTGTCCATAACGTACGACGAGGCATCCACCAACGCTAACATAAGAAAAAGTCGTCATCATCACTGGACGGAAAAAGAAGTGAAAGATAGAGCTCTGTCCAGGTAGATTGAGCCAACGGGATGTCAACTAAAAACGGGGAGCCCTATGAATGACTTCAACTATGCCTCATGAGTCTCCTACCCAGTTGATGCTAATGCTGCCGTCTTGTTTCTGTTGCATGCAATGATGACAGTAAAAGTGTCGGTTTTTTTAGACAGAGCTGGACACAATGGCGGTTCTCAACCTCAAGATGATCAGATATGGGAAATATTTAGTAGTAGGGGAATGGGTACGAAAGTTATAGCTGTATATCTGGCACGGCCGACACAAAGGCCTACATAAATAGAAATGTCCATAAGCAAAGGGTGTCAGTTGAGCAAATGAAGAATACATATTCACTCTATAGCACTCTATAAATGAAGATAATTCTAACCAAATTAATATTGTTCCCGTTTGTATGCGTTTGTCAAGACGCAGTTGGAGATGTTGGCTGGTCAATCTCGTGGATGAGTATCTCGTATGAGGTCGTCCTTTAGACCTCATGAAATCCAACAGATGCTGACGCACTGGGAAAATGCACAAGTAGGGGGTTCAATGAGAACTCAACCTCTGTATAAAACGCTGAAATGTTACATAAAAATGGCCGTACTTAGATACATAAGTACGGGCGAGATCTCCTGCTAAATACTTCAAAAGTGTCGTAATTGCAGTAGACTGCCAATAGATACAACAGCTGTTTTTACAAAAACAACAAAAAGAGCACTTTGGGCAAAGAGGCATCTGTACGATGCACTTTTTGACATTACGATCTCTGTGTCAACAGATTGTACGTTTTAGTTAGTTGCTTCATCAGTTGATTCATGTCTACACGCGACGCTCGAAGCGCCAGCTGCTCTTAGACGGTTTCGAATCATGTAGCTCTAGTATTCAGGCATGTTCTAGCTGAGTGTCTCAGAAAACCTAGGAGAATACAGGCTGTAGAGAATAAAAGGCTCAGTTACAGCAGTGATAATGGTGGCATCTGGTACCGTTTCAACGCTAACACGCGCGATCCAGAAAACCTGCTGGGAGGTCTGTCGGTCTGACGTTTTCGCTGCGGTTATATCAAAGTACATGACAGCGAAAATAGGAACTGTCCATTCCAGAGAGTTTGGTTAAGAAACGGGTACATGCAATAACTGGGCACTCAGAGTGCTTCTGAAAGCGTAAATGTTTCGACTTGTACATATTTTACATGTATTACACCAGACAACGTTTGCCGCCATTAATGTTTTCTCAACAGACTAAGTCTTGCAAAACCCATGTAACGATTCGAAATGAAGTGAGTACTGTTGTGCCTTAGCTTGCGAGCCTTTTTTCAGCTGATAGTAGCACCTCAGTTCTCACTTGTTTCAACGCATTAGTATATATAATTTTTATATTTGCAACGGTTGCCAATCATCGCTTGAAACGGATATTCTGTATCTTACTGCAGAAATTTTAACTAACGAATGTTGATTATACTCTAACTCCGTGATGCTCAAACCAAGCATTAAGACGAAATCACTTGTACTATTTGCGTGATCCAGATAACTGAATTATCATACGTACGTATAGACAGTAGCGTATCAACGGCCACGACCTTTTACCACCAGCGAAGATGATGTTCGATTTAGAGGCATCAGCCTTTTCTACGCTAAACAGCATCAGATTACTTGGGAAAAGTAAGGTTAATGGTAATACCTAGGGACTGGACACTAGCTGTTCTCACGGCCGTTCGAAGATTGTGTTTGAATCTACCAGGACAGTCAATATCTGCTCAAGGCACAGGTAACAGTCTTCTCCCAGAAGTGATTCGACAACGGTAGAGAGGCAAAGGCAGTTGTTCCCCTCGAGCTTCTGTACAAAGCTTCGATGTCGGTACCGTCACAGAAGAGAGCGCGTCAACTCCGGCGGGGGCCGCCTCCTTTTACGGGCGGCCTATTCTGTCTGTTCGAAAAACAAGCAAACGATACGATGGTGGCCGGCCGCGGAACGATGCTGCAGACATGGTGGAGCCGATGAGGAATCTACGCTGACGTCAAATGGATCTTCTGCTCTGTACGGTCACCGTACGTGTGCATTTCTGGATTCGTCTTATCACCCAGGGTTGCTGTATTCGTGTCTATTCCTACGATTACAGGTACTCCTAATGTTTTTAAAGCATGGTAATTTCAACTTCAAAAGCGAATCAAATGAACGCTAAGTACGACCAATGCCTACCATAGCCCTTCCTTATTCTTCTTGTTTTTCGCTAGTATATGGGCCGCAACGATAGTTGTGCTAAAATGGCGATACTCACTAACCTAGCAAGACTGTTAAGACTTGAAGTGTACTTTTCTCATTTGAAAATTTAAGCATTTACCTACAAATATTATATATATATATATATATAACTTATTTACATCAGACAGGCTCTGAACTAAAATTCTCAAAAGGGTCAAAGCTCTCTGCTGTGTCCTGTTTGAATCATTTCTTCTCAAGCAGATATCGTAAGCTGAGGTGAACCACTTTGCCGCACATCTGATCACTTACTCAATCCGCACCACAACCACCTGAACGTGTGGGGCGCCAGTATCAGTTTATTGCTTTCTATAAAAGACACATGTTTAAAACCATGTCTCGCTTTTCTCTTTTCCACCATGGAGAACTCTTACCTCTGAACCAGTTTAGATATGACAATAATTTGAAAACAAGAGGGGCACGAAACTTGGTACCTTTTACAAGGAATAGATAAGCTAAAATAGTCACCTTCAGCTAATGATCAACGTCTGTTGTGTTGTTGTAGTTTGTTCCTAGATGAGTAAGTGACAATCGAGTTGCTAGCTAATCACGCTAATCTACCAGCGCAATGTTAATGCTCGTTCAAACCCATGTACTATTATTCGACTCGCACAAACATATATTTTTTCTGTTTTAATGCACTTGAACTCTTTGTCTGAAAGTTATAAACCGTTGTGACCTATGAGACAAAAAAGGAAACACAAGAAGGAAAAGGACAGTAATTAAATTAAATTTTAAAAAAAGAAGGGGGGGGGGCATGGGCATAGATGCGTTTTCATACACGCATATGGATGTTTATGGATTTAGTGAAAGGCGAACTATGAAGACCACAAAGGTACCCGGATTGAATAAGGAGACCCTAATGGCCAGGTGACATCAGTCAACTATCGTAGATCATATCTCTCTGTTGCCATCCTACCACGCATTCGCACAGTATACATATTCACTATAATAGATGCTTATAAGTTATATAAGCCTCCAATTCGACTTGAACTTCCCACTTAGCAGAAGACAGATTTGTTTTATTTCAATGTTTTTATATAATCTTGCATAGGTAGTCAATATATTCATACTTCTGCATATGTACTTAAAGACTGGCCACTAACAAATCACTCCTGGCAGCGTATATTTTATTCATTATGTGAACCACTGAGAAATTACTGTCATAAGCAGCTAAAAAGGGGAGACGTCTGTATCGCTTAACTGTGTCATCTTTATATTCCTGCTTGCTTATTATGCTGTTCGGCGATATGCACATAATACCGAAAGCATTTAAGAAAAAAGTGCGCTTAGTCAAGGCGTTTCAGAAAAAAGAAAAAGAGATGGTCTATATGATTCAGAGATGTGCGCGCTTACCGAAACTGCGTGAGTAGTACCATGCGATAGGATAGATGGGGATAAGGTGTTGAGAAGACACCCAAATACTGCAGCAGAAGAAGAAAAAGATAGTTAGAGGGCGAGTTGTGCCTCGGAACTTCACGAGAGAAACCGGCGGTTTCGATCGAAAACGACGATTTCAATGAAGGGTCTGTTAAAGCCATTTGCTTGCGCAGTACCGAAGCAGGTTGATGGGCCTAGCCCCAATCTGGATCGGACCCGGGTGTACTAGTCATGCTCTCATTTTCTCAGTCTACTTGGGAAGCAGCAGGAAGGGGCACCGAGTATGCCTGCTCGACCCAACTAGCCACAATTGCATGGCCCCAACGGATGAATGGAGGAGGCGGCTGCCGCTGCTTGATACGCACGTCTCTACACACATTCACAGACACCAGTAGTACACAACCAACGAGCATACTGGCAGTCACTTAATAGTGACTGGAGACGCCGCACTCGATGGCCAGACCGACTTAGCCTGTCGAACGGAAGTATGAAGGGGCTCTTGCTAAGCCCACCCCGTCTGTTGACTGAAGACTTCGCGAAGAAGAAGCACAGAACGATGTGATCTCGGTTTGCTCCGGCGGCACTTAACATTTCTTTCGTGTCTGCTCTGAAAGGTCTGATCAAGGAGAGCTGCCAGCCGGGATAGTATAAAGGAGAGCAACATGGAAGAAATGGAGGTAGGCATCTGGTCGTTTGAGCGCCGGCTGCCCGGATGGCGAGCACGGAGAAAAGCAATAGACGCGACCAGTCGAAAATTGGCCAAAGAGTGGGAACTAGGTCTGTAACTGATTCTGAAGAATAGGTCTTGAACAACGGAGCTGGAGCGGCTCTGGCGGTGACACTGGAGCGGGGCTATTCAAAGGATAATACAAACTTTTCAAATACAACTCTTACCTACAATCGATTCCCACAATAAACCTGAATGGGCGAACTAACCAGCCGCTGACGGCTTGCAGGAGCAGCAATATTCAGAGTTTCACCGGAGTTCAGAACAGCCCCCACAGTGCATTATTTCTCCCGCACAAATTTACAGGCTCTATCGTGGCTGTCTGATCGCTCTTGTTCCGTTCCTCTGACGACTGTGGGTGTTCTCGTTGAATCTTTCACGATCACTATGCCCCACTGCATAGATATTATAAGCGGACTGAAGTGTTACCTGCAACACGAACTTATCAGACGAACTTGGAGCATGATGTTGCACATTCCAGCATCCGACCCCTCATTGATTCCCAGGCGGCCATCTGTAAAGCTCCTATGCGACCCCTTTTTCGAGTTCACCAATTCGCGGAGAAGGGCCGAAAAAATCTCTAAGAAACACCACCCCATCCCCATATTTATATATATCAGTTAAATGCACATATAATATTGAATGTACTGATGCTGATGCGGGAAGACCAAACCTAAACGGCGTGAGTGTCTTACCGGGTTTAGGGTCGTTTTCCGATTTGTACTATCTTTTGGTTACAATCTGTTATAACCACTTCTGTTCGTTAGACAGGTGGTATTGTTCAACGCTACGTAGCGGCTCATTGGAAAATATCAGTACGATAATATTATTCGATGGTCATATGATGGTATAATCCAACCACCGTATGATTGGTAGGCATGCATTCAAGTGGTTATTTAAATAGATGTGTTTAAAAGCGTAGTAATATAATTAAGCATAATCAGAGTAATTACTGCAAGAGATCTTACGCGGATCCTTGCCTGCAGACGACCGTATGCCTCCTTCCGTAAGCTTTGTCTTTATAATATGTGATTGCGAGCTCAGATGTGCGTAATTACCTTTGTACTCAAGGTTATATGTTATATACACCTTGCATATGAGGGTGATATCTCAGCGCGCCCTTGTCCTCGCCTGCTATAATTATCATTCAATTTTTTAACGATAACTCGTGCCGAATTATATTACTGAAAGATACTCAAACAGCGGACGTTACTCATTTGTCAAGGCAGAATGAACTGAATCAGTACCGTCGGTGTTGTTGCTATTATGTCATGCAAACTGTGCTCGCTGCACAGTTAGTAATGATAATCTTTTCTTCGAGGACATTCACCAAGAATAGACGCAAATACTTGTACGTCAATGTCAAAAGATGTGGTATGATGAGCAAGTGGCAAGGACCGTTTCAGTTTAAAATCTTTTCACATCGATGTACATGGATGTACTTTTCTGCCAATATTGAAAAATACTAAGGTCATCGACTTCACTTCGCAGCTTGCAACGCAACGGTCCTGTCTGAGTGCACTATGGTGACAGTTGTCTCGACAGGCGTCTAAAGTACCGAGTATGGGTGGAACCCTAATCTAGGAAACCAGGAAGTTTTCTGATCCTCACTAGCTTTCACTTGTGTGTAGGCCGCATGAGGAAGTCTCGGACTTCAGATTGATGACATGAACGCGGATAATGAAGGCGAGAGTGTACGTTTTGTCCCCTAGAGTTGGTGGAGCCGTTGGCGGTATCTCTAAAGTACAGTGACCTAAGGCCCCAGCACTAAGCTTGTCATTTTTCATGCGCGTGGTCAGGCTGTTATTACAGACTAGGTGAGAGTAAACTCTAACGGACAACTTTCGTTGACCTCATAAACCTTAGATGCATAATGGCAAACAGCTACTTGTGTGTACCCATCTTCCTGCTTAATACGGGCGGTCATGCATCTCGAGAAGTCACTCTCTCCGAGTATCGTCGATAACTGAACGGACAGCCACGTTTTACGACAACCAACCAGCCTTCCTCCTCATGTTTGGGGTAGCAGTGTAGTATATATGGCTTCGTTTAATTGTCGTCTATTAAGGTTTGTTTGGCGAATAATCTTTGAAACGATCGGTAGTAAAGAATAAGGTGCTGGTACAAATGTTGCCCATATGTGCATCTATGGTCGAGCCATGCAAATTATAGCAGTATTAATAAAACGCCTGCTATTTATTTATCTGCCTATGTCAGCCAGCGACGCTAAATCAGCGGCTTGTCCTGGCTTTAGCCTTGGCGTGCGGTAGTTTTTTTAGCATTAAATGTTTCTGTAGACTTATACAATGGAGAAGTGAGTGCGGGGGTGGCGGCTGTGGCCGCTTCCAATGCCAATCAGTAAGAACGCAACCAGTGATATTATATACATACACAAAATATAGCCTATGGGCACTTGTACAAGTGAAACTATGTATGTATGTATGTATGTATGTATGTGTGTACTTAGAATAGACAGTGCCGCACAGTAGCTACTTAGGGATACTTTCGCTTCAGGTAATTTTACGATGCTTACTTTACAGCGCGCTTTGGCTAGGAGGTGCTGTACGGTATTAACATGATGTCTCTCAGGTAAAACGTGCGCGGTTCATAAGTTCAGCGTGACGAAAAGCCAATGTGGCTGTGTATCGAATGTACGCACGACACAAACACTATTGGAAACATCTATTAAGCACCTAAAAAACGCCAGAGTGTAATGTAAGTAGTCCCCTTGCCAGTGCAGATGGCACGTAGCTACCGCGTGACGCAGAACCAATAGCCAAAACACACTATCGTAGCACAGCGTTCTCCGTCTTGTTTTGCGTGTTACCAAAAGCTCATGATACATAAGAGGTAGTAAATTGTACAAAAAACAGCTACATCGGTACAAGTGAGCAAACCCGCATTTCGGATATCCGCAAATGCGTGTCCGTTGTTCGATACAATCATCAGATTATTAAAAATTGTTATTAGAAATGTAAAAGTTAACTTTGCCCAAGGCAGATTCGTTTGCACGTAACACAATTTGCTTTTCACTGATTAGCCGTTCGCCCTACAAGAGGATACAGTTTCATAAACATTTGTGCGACGAGTTTCATCGATGAGTTGTTAAGGTACGGTTTCTTGGAGTCGTGTATGAAACAGAAAACTGAAACAATGTTTTCTTCCCTTCAGATCTCTCTAGATTCTACTAGGTAGGACTGAATGTTGGTGTCGTCAGAAGCGGGAAAGTCGCCAAGTAAAGAAACGGGTTCTTTCTGCGCCGAAACATTCAACTTATACTGACACCAAGCGTTTTTTTTTGACTGAATTAGAGCGGACCTGATGGTTTATTATAAATGCTCACCACAGCTACGGCTTGAGGATCAGCAACCTTGACTTCTTCAGCCGATCGTATTGACTCGGCTCAGTTCACCCACACGGCAGTTCGCCAAATATTCTATTAACTGGCATCCACCTACCGTTATACGGACGAAACATAGACTATAATCAGGCGTAGAAAAGCACAGAAAACTATATAATTTTATATCAATATGGAATGTGCATATTTTCTGGGTGACCGTATTATTGACTTGTAATGTCGCTACCAGCAGCATAATCAGTATTACAAAATGATGCCAATAATTAAGATTAAAGTATCATTGTTTTATTACCATTATAAGACTATACGTAATGCAGTATTAATGTATGCGCTTCATTAATAAACTAAAATAAGAATTCGAACGTCACTTATTGGGGGAACATT